TTCTCAGCCCACGTCATCTGTTGCGCCAGATCCAAGCATACAGTCTTGCTTTCAGGTGTTGTTTAGCCCGAAGCTGGCCATCCTGGAAAGTAGGGAGAGAGATGGAAAGCTATTAAATTTAGATTTCTCTAACTCAGCACTCGACTTCAAACAAGGCCATTGCTCGCTGTCATTTTAAAAGCGAAGATAGTAGATGCCATTAAGAAATGGTGGTTTTGCTCAGTGAGTGTGCTCTTGCCTTTCCCGACATCGGTGAGTTTACGGGAGGCTGGCTTCTTTGGGATGGCTTCACACAGCCTTGTGGGAGGCCAGAGCAGGACAAGAGTTGCTGCAGCAATGGTAAGTACCATAGATATACTCGCTACCACAGGGGCGCAGTCACTGTTTGAATGCTCTCGCACCTCCCAGTCCTTCCACATGCATTTTCACACATAAGATTTTCAGAGCAGGGTATCCTGCTCTGAGGGGCGTGCTTGGCATGTGCCCAGCAGGCCACAGCCTCCTTTCCTCTGTGTACGCTTTCCAGCCCCAAGAAATCGACCGTTCTAGAAATGACTTCTCTTTGCATAGTCCCCTCAAATGGTGCCTGGCTCGCCAGCCACTTCCCCAGCAGAGTACACGCCTAGCTTTTCTCTCTGCTCTCTTGGTCCTGACCAAGAGCCTTATTAACGTCTGTCTGTCACCTCTAAGGAGTCATTCAACACTCACCTTTCAGATTTTGCCCTTTTTCCCTTCCCATCTGGCTCCCATTGTGTGTGTGTGCATGCGCTCCTGTGCGCTTCGTGCTTGCGTGCGTGCGTGCGTGTGTTTATTGGCTACCATTCCCTGAGGCCATTAACTGCCACCCTACAGAACTCAGTTAGGAGTCCTCCATCATCCCCTGTCCTCATCTGCAGCCCTCCTAGTGTGCATAGCTGCACTCTGACCACCTGCGCAGTGCAGGGGGTCATCTTCCCTCCTAGCGCTTCCCTAATGTTGCCACTCCGTTTGCTTTCTCACCCCTGCTCCGGCTTCCTGTGATACTGCATATTAAATGTTTTATTAACCACTTTCTCCTTTGACTAGCATTTCCCTGTGATATGAAATAAATGTATTTTTCGCAATTTGTTTGGTGTCTCTGTGTTCTATATCTACGGTTTTGTGTGTGTGTGTGTGTGTGTGTATGTGTGTGTGTGTTTTATTGCCTTTCTTCCGTTCAGGAGATTGTTCAGTAAGATGATTAAGCTTTGGAGTCCGACGGCACCAAATGTTGAGTGAGGGCTTTTTGGTGATGAAAGTAAAATGGAAGCGAATTTATGATTTCCTTTGATGGTCCTCCATTTGCTGGAATGCCTGTTTCATGAAAGCCAGGCGTCTGTCTGTAATATCTCGAGCACAGAGCAGACACTAGGTGAATGATCTGGAGTGCCGTTTAGGACAGCAGTCAAGAGTGTAGGCCGTGGTCTAGTGGATGCCATGGTGTTGTGTTCTAGAATCTGGGGGCGATGATACTGCGGGTCAGTACTGCTCCGGTTAGCTGCCATGGTTCTTACTCGCTGGCCTCCACTCTGTTGTCCCCTGCCCACTGGTGACCACTCTCAGGAGTGTGTGCTTGGTGTTTATTCTCTGTTTCTTCCTCCTTCCATCTTCCTTCCAGGTGAAAAGCGGGGAGGAATATAACAAAAGAAAAATGTGTTCCTGGACTCAGTCAATACTAGTATTTCAAGAGACTTAATATGGGTCTCAGGTCCATTACCTACTAACTGTAACTTTAGGTCAGATTCTGAAGCAGTTCTGGGCCTCAAATTCCTTGTCAGCAAAATGGGAAGAGAGTAGTTCCTATCTTTATAGGAGCTGTAACTCACTGCCAAAGAATCGGTCCAGACTCATAGTGACCCTATGAGACAGGGGAGAGCTGCCCCTGTGGGTGTCTGAGACTTTATGGAAGTCAAAAGCCTCGTATTTGTCCTTTGGATTTGCTGGTGGTTTTGAACTGCCAACTTTGGAGATTGCAGCCCAACACGTAACCCCTGCGCCACTCGGGCTCCTTCTGTATAGAGAGACTAGTCTTACTATAACGATATTAGGACAGGGCCTGGAGGGTAGTATCAGCCAGTATCTGGTGTACTTGTAACTGCAAATGTAATATAGCCAGCTGAGAGGCATTGGGAAAGAAGGAAGAGGGGGACTTTAACTCTCAAATCACTTTGTATTTGGATGTCTTTCTTCTACTTCTTGTTTGTATTGTCTGTAATTTTTAAAAACTGAAACTTAACCTGAACTATGGAATCTTTTCTCTGGGCCTTGTGTGTTTCACCCAACACTGTGCTACGCCCGTTTTAAGGTGTTGCTGGGAGGTCTTTGGGGCTGTAATATTGACTCGCAGCATCAAACCCCTCCTGGTAAGTGAAGACGCAGAGAGCGAGGCTTCCTCCTTGCCCTGCCCTGCCCTGCCTGTCAGTGTAAAGGACAGTGTCTGCCCCTAGAGAGCAGGGAAGCCATCTGTGTCAGGGTGAGGCTGATGAGAGTCAAAGTGTGGGGAGACAGGAGGGGAGTTCCTGTTTGAACTAAGCAAGCCCTTGGTGGCCCGTTTGTGTCTGCAGGCTGATGGCTGGGTCACTGATAGCACATAGTGTGCGCACCAGCCTGTGCTACATCTGGTCTGCAAAGGTCCACTCCTTTGAGGGCTGAAAAGACAGTAGCGCAGAAACCTGCCTGGCCACGCCCGGTTTTTATTCGTGGAACATTCTGGTCCTCCACGTGCCATGCTGTAGCTTCTTTGTCTAGCTGTGTCAAGGAGCCCTTGTGTTCCAGGGAACTGGCACATGCCCTGGAGAGCAGTACGATAGCAGAGAACCAGAACTTGTTGAGATACTGAAGGCACACATCCTGTACCCTTAAAAGCAACAAGCCCATCTGTGTGTCAGAGAGGAACGAGGCTGCTGTGGGAGGCAGTTTCTAGAAGACCCGTCCTAATTGGAGATGTTGACTCTCTGCTCTTTTAACAGTGGACATAGGCTAATAAGCACCAGCTTTGGCTAAGACCTTGGAACTAGGGGGCAGCTGAGGCGCTCTCGTGTCCTCCTGTGTTAATGCTTGTCCCTTGTGTCCCTGGCATTTTTCACTTTCAGCTAAGCAATCATTTGTTTGAAGAACTGGCCATGGACGTGTACGACGAGGTTGACAGGCGAGAGACCGATGCAGGTGACTTAACCCGTGGCTTTATCTCGTAAACTCCTGCTGCCAGCGGGTGGCAATGACAAGCCACCAGATTTCAGTGTTCTCCTTGCCCGGTATCCCCCGTACCATTAACTGTGTGTCGACCTTCACCTCTGTGGGGGGTGACTTCTGAGCATACTCCCCCCCAAGTCTGTCCAGCATAGCGTGAGCGGCGTCTTTCGGAGCAGAGCAGCAGTGGCACACCAGTGGTGACAAGATTCTGTCTCTGACTCTTTCCCTGGCTAGTCTGGCTCGCCACTCAAAACCACAGCACCCTCGTCACCGAGACCACCGTGGTGCCCTTCCTTCCGGTCAATCCCGAGTACTCGTCCACACGAAACCAGGCAAGTGGCTGTGCTCAAAAAGTATCTCCGAGTCGTATTGTGGGGAATGAGTGGCGGTGTGAGGTTTTATTTCCTTAGGGCTGGTAGCCTAAGTCTTTTGATTAATAAAATGTTAGTATGATATGTATCGATCACACACAGGTCACAAATTGGCAAGACAATATCTGTAAATAATTGACTTAGAAAAAGAACACAAAATTCACCGAAGAAATAAAGACGGCTCACCAATGTTTAGCCTCCTTAGTAATCCAAGAAAGCAACCTAAAGACATTAGTGAATCATTGCCCCGTGAAATTAGTAAAATGTCCCTGAAAAGGAGACTCCCATGCTGCCAAGGAGGTGGTAAAGAATTTAAATCCTGCAAGCAAGAGCAATGTATTCTTGCATGTCCGAAGCCTCAGAATGAGGCGCAGGCAGGCCTCATTGTGTTGTGCCGCCCCATATTTGTTGTCCTTCGTAGATAACTGCGTTTTCCCAGGTTACAGATCTGTGGTCACCCTGTGTCCAGTAAGGCTGTCGGCACCCTCTGTTCTCACTCTGGGACTCCGGGTCACCTCTAGGTCCTTCTCAGAAGATTTCTCTCTTTTTTTGGTAATGCTTTTGCTCACTAGCCTACAGTGTCAGGTAAACATAACTTGTTATAGTCACTGGGAAATCAAATCATTCGCACAGTGGCAGCGCAGGACTGGCCTCTCAGTCTCTCCAGGGTCCGGCTGTCCATTCCACCATTGGAGAGTGAGTTCTAGTCAGGTGACACAAACATTCACAGTGTCATCACAGCAGTGTGTGTAGGAACAGAGCATTCGAACCACCAAGACGGCCAGACCTGGTATGCACTGCATAAATTGGGCATTTTCATTGGATGAAGGACTCTGCAGGACAATGTATAAACATTGCTTCTCTGGCAATTCTGAGATTTCCTTCTCCATTATTATTATTATTTTAATTACTGAGTGAGTCTCCTTGAAAGTGGAGTAGCTGTTAGACAACATTACATTGAGCCTGGTTTTGGTTGGCAAAACCAAAGGAATTGTTAGAAAGTGCTCGTAATGAATGGCTTTGAGGTGTCAGTGTGGGGAATGTGACCGTTCGTGCTTGAGTCCCGTTGAAGCATGCTGGGAGGCCGTGGCAGTTTACAAGCAGCCCGGCCAGTTTTGTGTAAATACATCATGCACGAAGGGGCTTCTGAATGCTGGTGGCAAAATTTTATCATCTTTCCATGTTTCCACAAACTTTTTGAAGCCCCCTATATCTCTGTCTCCCACCCTGAGAACCCTTCCCATTGTTTTCTCCCCTTCAGGGCAGACAGAAACTAGCGAGGTTTAATGCCCACGAGTTTGCCACGCTGGTTATTGACATCCTCAGCGACGCCAAGCGGAGACAGCAGGGCAGCCCTCTCTCTAGTTCAAAAGGTAACACTTTCCAGTCTGTATGTGTGTTTGCTCTTTGGCTTTCTAAACCTAACCCCAAGTGTTACATTTAAAGTTACACATTTATTAATTAAAGCAGTTAGTAGCATAACAGTTTATTCAGAGTCCCGAAAGTTTGGTAATGTGGTATGACCAAAAATGTCCCTGTGTGAGCCCTGTCGCTAGATTCTGTGGGCTTAGCTCCAACTCCGAGCGAGCCTGTGAACAGGACCAGGAAACACTGCCTGGTCCCGCCCAGTCCTCTCAGGTGTTGCTATGTTTGAGCCTGTTGTTGTAGCCATTGTGCCAGGCCAGCTTACAAAAATTATACAGAACCATTTACATTTGCCAACTACAATTCATGCTGACTTTTATCCATTTAATAAGACAAATACATATTTATATGTGAATTTGAATATATATATGTTTTTTAGAAGAAAATTCATTTTCTTCTAAACTTTCTACTCTAGAAATTCTCTGTGGTCTACCTACGAATACATGTCAATTTGACACGAATGTAAATTGAGTATTAATCCCAGTAAATAGGTTTGATTCACGGAAGATTTACTTCAGTAATAAATATAAGCGTAATCTAAAAGTTCTTAGAAAGTAAACATCAAAAAAATAAAAAAATTTAAAAAAAGTAAACATCAAATGTACAGACAAACAGTGCAGTGGAGATTGTCATACTGATTGACCCAATATCTCAAATGTTGTATAATGTGAGATGTTATGCATTTTACATAAACAAAGTTTCACATAATTTCATTTATGTTAATAGTGTATCATTGTGCTGTTTTTAAATAAAATAAAAAAATTTTAAAGAAAATGTACGGTTTTCTTGTGCATTTTCACATGTCTGTTTGACACATGTCCATAGAGACAGGTATAAAAGAAATATTGGTAAATCTAGTGGTAAATAAGAAACATGTCCCATAGACATGTCCCATTCCCATTAATTTAGTTCCTACTTTCAGTTTTGTTAGCTACAGGAAGTCCTGTCTGACTTGCTGATACTAACTCAAAAAAAGCTTCAGTACTATTAAGTCAACTCCAGCTCATGGTGGTGACCCTATAGTACAGGGTAGAGGTGCCCCTGTGGGCTTCTGAGACTGACTCTCTCCAGGAGTAGAAAGCCTTGCCTTTCTCCTGAGGAGTGGCTGGTGCTTTTGTACTGCGGGACCGTGAGGTTAACTACAGAACCACTGTCCCACCGAAGCACATCTGTCTGAATTCCTGACCAATACTAACTAGCCCTGAATCATTATGCAAATGTGTCCTCTTGTTCAAATGATTCAGTAAACTCCTACTTGAGACCCTAGGTTTACACAGGCACTTTGTCTCCAGGGTACAAATGAAATCTGTCCTCAGTGTGTATTTAAGCAGAATTTCTAAGTCAGTGGAAACACGGGGATCTTAATTCGTGTTACTTAAGTGCTTCAAGCCTTTTCAATGATTTGAGAGTTACATGTGCAGCAAGTGAAGGAACTTGATGTCTAACCTTAGGAGGACCCTCCAAACTGTTCCCACAGCAAACACAGCATTTGATGCTCCCACCTGCAGTGCAGGGAGCCCTGGTTTCGCTCCATCCTCCCCAACACTCATCCTTTTTGCAGGTAGCCACCTTAGTGGGTGTGAAATAGTCTCTCATTGTGGTTACTTGGGTTTTCCAAATGATTTTGTTGTTAAGACTAAAAGCAGCAAAAGGAATACTAATTTAACAGTCCACATACCCGTTCATTGACGCTGGCGGCATTTTTCCAGTTGATGCGGTGGCTTGCACATTGGGCTGCTGACCACAGGGTCTGCAATTCGAAGCCACTAGCTGCGCCACAGGAGAAAGATGAGGCTGTAATGAGTAGTCCCAGCCTTGGAAACCCACTGGGGCAGTTCCTCTGCCTTGTTCTATGGAGCTGCTCGGAGTTGCAGCTGACTCCATGGCACAGAGAAGTGCCGCTTTTCTGAGTCTTTGTTCTTCCTTCCTGTCAATGTAAGCACACTGCCCCTAGGGCTCCTGTGAGGCTTTGTCAACTTAACCCCGTCTAGACAGTTCTTAAAGGAGCATGATACTTAGGACAAACATTTATTCCTCATTAACCAAAACGGTTCTTTCTTTTTATTTTAAATACTTTTATTGGGGGCTCTTACATCTCTGATCCCAATCCATACATTCATCCAGTGAGTCCACCACATTTGCACATTTGCCACCATCATTTTCAAAGCATTCTTTTCCCACTTGAGCCCATGGTATCAGCTCCCCATTTTGTCACCCTCCCTTCTCCGACCATTATTTCATTTTAAGAAAACTTCAGGGGATATTTTTAGTTTAAGGTTTCAAGATGATCTTGGGGCGTAGCCCCCCCTGCCCACACACACACCAAAGTTTTGGTCGTTTTGCCTGCACACCTTTCTGCGAGAAACTCTTAGGTGGGCAGAGTCTCCGGCCTTTTCTCACCAATTCCCCACCATGTCTGTGACAGCCTCTTCTCCCTGGTTTCAGTAGGATTTGAACATTCCAGATCTCTTGTTTTTCATTGTCATTCTTGCCAAAACATCCCAGTTAGTCTGTCCACCAGTGGACACCGCCACTCAGATGAGCCATCAGACTATGCATTCAGTCCACTGGGAAGCATGCTCCCCCTCGGGCTAGTCTTCCCTTGTGTTTCTGGAGAGAACCCTTTGGCCCGAGGTGCTCTTCTCGCTCTGGCATTTTAGGTTGGCATTCAGGGGAAGCCTAGGGGGACCAGAGTGTGTTGGCCATGGGTATAGCCCCACTTAGGATGTCTTCCCAGCATACAGCAGCTGCAGGCAGCAGTCTCAGCACCGGCCACAAAAATATGCACACAGACCTGACCGGACGCCCAGGGGTGCCTGTCCTGTTAGTTTCAAGCAGGTAGAATGCTGACGAGAGAGCAGCCTCTAGTACGGCGCCTTTGCAGCACCTTGCAGTGGCCTTATAGCTGGCAGTGTCCAGGGTTGGGGACACTGTAGATGGTCCCCCACGGAGGTGTGGCCTATTGATCCCAGGGCAGAAGCTTAGGATCCTGTCTCTTTGGACAGGTTGGCGGCTGAGGTGGGTAGGGCACTTGGCCCATTTTCTAGGGCCACTATCTCAGATCACCATACCCAGTGGCTCCCTGGCCGTGGGGCGGGCAGGGGAGGGGGGTTGGTGTGTTAGTTGTTGGCTCTTTGATTCTTTCCCATTGGCAGTCCCCAGCCACACTCCTCAGCTCCACGAATCCGTCTGAAAGCTGAGCGCCGCTTCTTTACTATGTCCTTTGAAGTATTTGTGGGGGAACATCAGTCACCCTGGCAGTCTTTTCTCCCTGCCATCTTCCCAGAAATGACTTGTGATTTTCACATTTCCGAATCTGCCATTTTCTTTTAGTGCTTTGAGTGCCTGAACCCCACGTGGGTCAGAAGGTTGTATTTTTTAATTTCCCACACACCCCCTCCCTGAAAAGCCTGACCTTGTCTATTTTTGCCCGTAGACAATGTGGAGCTCATCCTGAAAGCAATCAGTAGCCAGCACAGTGTTGAGAGCCAAGACAATGACCAGCCAGACTATGATAGTGTGGCATCCGATGAAGATACGGATTTGGAAACCACAGCCAGCAAGGCCACCCGGCAGAAGGTAGGGTCCCACCTTGCACACAGGATGGGCGAGTGTTTTCTTTAAGCGATTTCTCCTACAAATGTTGCCTTAGGTGAAAGTTAGTTGAGGGCTAGTCCTAGAATAGGTTATCTGTCAAAGCTGGGCTGGCTAGCTTGGGGCAACCCAAAGAGGAAGTGGGGGCGAGTCCTTTCCGAAATAGGGCTCCCTCATCCCCGAGGCTCTCGCTGAATCACAGCAGGCATACTTGGATATGGCATGTGAGTAGTGACTGGTGTGTGTTCCCCACTCAGCTACTTACGGGGTGACTTCCCTGGACAGCTCTCTGTTCTAGATGAGTGCTAGTCACTTTCCTGTGCGGATGTCAGCCCCTAACAGGGGAGCTCAAGGCAGTCTGATGTACAAAGTGACAGGGGTCTTGAGAAGCTGGGCAAAAGTTGGGGGAGGACTGTGGAGTCCCTGGGGAGGGCTTGTTAAGTGGGCTGGCATTGGCAGGGTAGGGCAGCCTAGGTAGAGAGGTTGGCAAAGCTATAGGGTCTAGGGGGAAATCTGTTGATATGGAGGAACAGCCTAGGAAGAGTGGCAGTCAACACGCAGCCTAGGCTAGGACCACTGTGTGGGGAATGTTGGCTCAGGCACGTGGGCTGGATGCAGGTAGCTTCAAGCCGAGCTGGAAGGTGGAGCTCTAGAGGTGGCCTCTGGAAGGCCTGTGCAGGTGGGTCAGAGTCAAGGCCAGGAGCTGGGAGGATCCTCTTGAAGAGGCCCAAACAAGAGCAGACACTGCCACCTTTACCTGGGTGAGCAGGGCCTGGCTGGGTGGGAGGCAGCTCCCTGGTCGAACACTCCCCCACCCCACCCCCCACTGCTGAGTTCCCAGGGCCTCACCAGGACCCACGTTTAGTAGGGACTCAGCAAACATTGAAAAAGGGGTGACGGATAAGGGAACAGGAAGGTCTTGGCAGTCACTGGGATGTTTGAAATATAGTTTCTAGCTCACTTGACTGTGAGCAGGGAACCCAGAAAGAAAGGCTGTCGTCCCAGGCAGAACCCCACCCCACTGGCCAGACTTCCCCGAAACAGCCCTCTGCACCCAGAGTGAGCTAGAGTTGGCTGGTGGGCCCCACGTGGTGAACCCTATCCTCCAGCGGCTCTGACTCACTGCTGCTCCTCTCTGCCCTGCTCCCTCTGCCTGGACTAATGTCCTCATGTCCTTCCAGCCATTGCTCACAGCTCACCTGTTCAAAGACTCACCCCACTGGCTCAGTAAAGTGCAGGCCTGCAGCCCCGCCCCTGGAGACTTCAGCTCCCTAGCTGTCACACACAGCTCTCTGCCTTCTCTCTTCTCCAGCACTGGCCACCTCTATCACTTTCTGTTTTTCTGCATTTCCTTTTGCGGCTGTTTCCCTCTGCCGAATTGTAAATTCGTGGAAGTAGGAATCTGTGTCTGTTCGTTCTCTCACCTCTCCTGAGCACCTAGCCTGCTGTCTGCTACACTCCCGAGACTCCGTAAAACCTGAAAACAGAAAGAGCAAGAGAGGAAGGCAAGCAAGATGAGACAGGTCACGCTGAGCCACGCTGCCTGTCCAGTCAGGAACTAGGAACCTTGAATCTTTTAAAAGCGTGTCCATGGCCCTTGTCTGTGGGCAGCCTCGGAGCAGCAGGAAGGATTTGGCAGTGGAGCTGGCATGATCAGAATTGGAAATGCTCTTAGCTGTTAGTCTTTCCTGTTGTCAACTCAGATTGTGAACATTTTCCCCAATTTATTTTTAGAGCCTAGACTCAGATTTATCAGATGGACCTGTCACTATACAAGACTTTATGGAGGTCAAAAACGCTCTAGTGGCTTCTGAGGCCAAAATACAACAGCTAATGAAGGTGAATAACAACTTGAGTGACGAGCTGAGAATTATGCAGAAAAAGGTAACATGTTCATGAATCGCCAGGGCGCCTGGCTCTTTGCTCCCCTAGTCTAAGGAAGGCCCCCAGGCACCATGCTGTGGCCAGAGGCAGGATCAACACTGTGTTTGCATAACGCTGTTCTGATTCCTTTGATATGAAACACACCGTTAGTGGGAAAAGGAATTAAAAGACCTTGGAATTTCCCACACTCTTGAAAGCCCTCAGAGTCGGTTTCCCCCGTTGGAGACAGGTGACTCCTTAGGAAGTATTGGCATCAGACTGTCACCCTTGCACCGTCGGGTGCTTTCGGGGAGCCGGTGCCACGGCATGCACCTAAATTCTCTCTGTTGCCAGTTCTGAAGAACAGCCAGGCTGTGAAGACAGAGGGACAATACGCATGTGGGTCTTGACAGCCATACAGACACTCCCCCCACCCAATGCATAGAGGGACAGCCCCGGTCCCCATCACCACTGCTCTTTGTCACCAGGCCTTACCTGTTCGCTGGGGCGACCTCAGAACCCCAGAGTAGGCTCTGCCACACCGTCGCTTCTCAAATGCATGGAAATAGCTCAACTGTCTTCATGAGAGCTGAGTGCTAATAAGGAACGGTCCCGCTGGCTCAGCATTTTCTCATGCAGTACCTTTTGAGAGAGTCAGAAGCACCCGCCTCTATTAAAGCCTAGAAGGAGTGTGTCTTACAGTATCAGGGGTAGAATGCCCTCAGGAAGGAGACTGTAAGTGTAACTCGGGACTGGAATGCTGCACAAAGGAAGTGGGGTGTTTTTAAAGTATGCCTCGGACTTTATAGTGTCACTCCCATTACTTACTTAATTCCCCTCCACAGTTCCCTGGGATGGAGACAAAATGGGGTGTATCCCTGTGCATTGGCGCCATGACCCGAAAGTGACGGGTTCAGATCCTTTCCAGGACTGCAGGCCAGTGCCTTGAACTCGTGGTGGGTCCCCTTTCAGAGAGGCTTCCAGAGGAGACCAGAGATAGGCCGTCCTTCTGGCTAGGGGAGGACACCGCTGGCTTCTCCGAGCGGCCCATGGTCCGGGGTGGTGTGGGTGTTGAGTCCTTGACTGATTTTTAGAGACCTTTGTGGGTAAAGGGCTCCCAGGAGGGGGAAAGAGTCAGCAAGGCTCTCGACAAGCCTGTACCGCGCAGCTGGCAGTTAACTAGGACAGGGCTCTGCATAGGCTCCACAGCCGTCTGAGAGTCAGTCTTCCATGTGCCAGGCCTCGTCCCGGGCTGGCCTGAGCCCTTGGCTCAGCGGGCTGGCAAGCTTGCAGCAGTCTACCTTTCATCAAAATGCAAGGTGCCCTCAGCCCTGACGGACAGGATTTGCAGTCTCACTGCCTCTCCCGAAATATCTTTTGTTGCATGGATCACAACTTGTCCACCGATTGGATGAATAATCTTGGCAAAACTTTTTTGGACACATGCTGACTTTGCCATTGTTAGTCAGTCTGCTAGATTTTGTATCATATGATGCTCCTTCTCGTGTCTGCAGAAGTCACCAGAAATTAGCATGTAGCTCTGAGCGCAAACCCCTGTAGCCTCCTTGAAGAATCGCTGAAGGAAACGGCCTGCCTGTGCTCGGGATCACCTCTTCCACTCTGAGAAGCGCTTTTGGTTTTTTATATCTGAGCCAGTGGATGATTTGTACCTTCTCGGTCGCGCTTGTGCTCTTTCCAAAGAGAAAAGGGAGCCTGGTCATTATTGAGACAGGAGCATCGCTCACCTTGGCCCACAGGCATCTTTCTCGATACAGAGAACGAGAATGTTCACAGACTGAAGCCTGGGGCTTGGTGTTCATCAAGATATGGCCAAGCCCACTCCAAGCTAGATGGGTAGGAGGCCTGAAAACCTTTGGGCTAGTTTCTAATCTCAAGGCCCCATTAAAAGCACGTCACAAGTGTTTATATGGACAGACAAGCGTGTGTCCAGACACACTGGTCATTGGGGTGGGCAGTGTGTCACTGATGCTTCTGACTTTGGACATCGGCCATTCCTTGATAAATCGTTTTGACGGGCACTCTGCCTGTGTGGATCCTGGAATGTAGGAATGTTCAGTGGCTGCTGGTCCTCCCTTTGCAGCTGTTGGGTCTTTGAAGGAAGTAGCAGGTGTTAAGTTAGGCCCTGAAAGCCTTTGGATGTGGAAGCCACCTGGCATCCCATGGTGGCTCGTCTCGGAGAAAACAGACGGAGAAGAAGCCAGAAGTGGCCCTTTCACAGAGATTTCTGAGCAGTTCATGTATAGTACATAGTTTGTTCATTCCACAAAGACATCATGGTGTCATTTCAAAGTTAGGACAAGGTTTGGGTGGGGTTTTGTGGTCTTGCTTTTTAATATTTGAATTCTTTCTTAAAAAATAATAAAAAAGCGTGATTTGTGTCTGATCTTTCACATTTAACAGTTGCTTGAAAAGGATGCTAATTAATGAAGAGGAGCAGCTTGTCTTGGTGTGTTTGTCACAGATTTGGTGCTTTCTAAGTAAAAAACTAAAAGTAACTCCTCACACTGCATGGGGTGGCTCTGGAGGAAGTTCTGGTCGCCTGGCGCAGATACAGTGGCTTGCGGACTGAACCTCAGCACTCACTGGTGGAGAACTTGGTCAGTCATTGCCACCTCGGTCAGAGAGTAGACAGCTGAGCTCACACCAGCCCCAGGTCACGAGTGGCCACAGACGACTACGATGGCAGCCAAGCGGGAAGGACACCGTGCAGAATGGACTCAGAGTACTGTGTTGAACATGGCAAACGCAGAGTTACATGGCTCCCTGCTGACTCCTGAGGATGGACAGGGTGTCGGGGCTTCCCAGGGACAGCCTCTAACTGATGGGGTGGTGCCAGGCAGCGTAGGATGCTTGATGCCAACACACCGTGCTTGTGTGTCTGTGTGGCAAAGCCGAAGGAGAGAAAGGCTCCAGATTGCAGCCCCCGCTAAAAGACGTTTGCTCACCAGAGGGAAACAAGCGCATGGCGTGGAGCCCTCAGACGAAGATCCAACAGTAGCCCCTGTGGGCTGACCATTTTCCTCAGGACTCATGTTCCCGTAGCACGGGAGCCTGGAGCTGGCGCCTGCGCTTGACAATAGACAACACACCAGAGTGCTCAGTTGTCTGGGCAGTGGAGTGCACTGTGTGAGAAACACGTGCGGGTCATCGTTCTCCTTTGGAAAGCCACTAGCGCACTTCATCCTCCACACGCTGCACCGCACTCTCTCTTGCTTTGCAAAGCCACTCTGGCCACTTGGTGCTGCTTCCATGGTGTCGGCCGTCGTTGGGGCTTCTGTGATTTCTCAGGGCTCACTGGAGAACCGCATGTGACACCTAGGTCATGCTCTCATGGTCTCCAGCTCGTGCTAGAAAGCAGCCTTAGCAGAGTCATCTCGCCCACAAGCTCCCCCCAGCCCCACAAACCCAATTTTGATAAGGGTTCATTAGCCTTTGGGCTCTAGTTTCTGAACCAAGTTCAAGGCGGTCCCTCTGTAGCTCGCTGCAGTGGTGAGGAGAGTCTGTTGTGTGTCACGCACTCCCGGAGGAGGCCCTCTTGTTTGTGGCAGCCTTTCCCTGTGCCCCCAGCTAGCTATAACCGTTGTTACTGTGAAGGCCGATTTACGTTTCGTTGTGTTTGCTTTTTCTGCCTGCTGTAGAAAAAACAGAGTCCCACTGCCAAACGTTTCTTTCAGCTTCAAACACTCCAGAGTGAAAATTCGACCCTCAGGAAACAGGCCACAACCACCCTCTATCAGGCGCACACTGGCTCTGAGTACCCAGATCCTTCCAGCCACTCTTCCTTAAAGAGAAGGCCGTCCGCCCGAGGCAGTCGGCCGATGTCCATGTACGAAACGGGATCAGGGCAGAAGCCATATCTCCCCCTGGGAGAGGCGAGCCACCCAGAGGAGAGCAGGACTCGGCTCCAGCCCTTCCCCACGCACGTAAGTAACACCATTGGTGCTTCTGCTGTGCACGCTCTGCCCACTGTGTCCTCCCACCCTCCAAACCCACTGAGCTCACTGCTGCACCTGGCCAAGCTGGGCTTTGAGAATTGTCGCAGTGTTTGCTGTATTGATATGTGTGCGGTGTTCCCCAAAGTGCGCAGGGCCCTGATGGGAAGTTTTCCCACAGAGTTAGGGATTGCTGGTTCTTGTTCAACCCTTCATTCCCCTTTATCTTTTTGCCCCCATTGTCATAATATAATCCCCAACCAGCCAGTAGTGGTTATAACATTAAAAAGCAAAAAACGTCCTCCCCACTCCAAAGAGCAAGCACTAGGAAACTTAGTAGCAGAAGGAAGTGCCCCTTTTGGACTTGAGCCCTTAGAATCCGATGGGTCTTTGCAGCCTCTGTCCATGTGGTCCACGTGCCTGCTTCGTTAGCTTCTGCGTCCTCCTCCCGTTCAGGGAGAAAATGCTGCTGGCTCCCTTCAGAAAAATGACATGTAAACACCTTACCCCAGGTTCACAGTTGAGCTGTATGCTGAAGAGTGTATTCTGAACAGGGACGCTAGCCCGTTCATTTACCTTATGCATTGTGTTGTGAGGTTTTCAAATATTGTCAGATTTTTAAATATTATATTTCTTTTGGATGAGCTTATTATAGAAAATAACCTGTGCTGAAACAAAAAAAGTTGCAGACGTTTTAACCTCTCATTTGCTATTTTGTTTTTGTGTCCCTCCCCCATCCCCCCAGAGTCATTATTGTTTTTTGATGCCTGAATGTTAACGATTCTTCAGCCAACCTTTATAGGGTTGTTGGAAATAATTGTCAGGGTGAATGCAGATTGCAGAGTGTGTTCTATTAAAGTCAGCCTGTTCTCCCTAGTCTGACTTTGTCCGTGTGAGCGTGACGAAGGTACACTGTTTGTTATATGAGAGCCGCGAGTCCAGTTGTTTGGGTGTAACGTTCGATGACAGGTCATTAATACAGGTTGTGCGATGAGAAGAGCACTGGCCTGACTTAGGCAGCTTATTTTTGCAGACCTGAAAACAAACTGTAGGAAAAGCCACCTTCGTTAGTGTCCGGAGTGCCTGTTTAGTAATTCCACACACACACATAAAATTCAGAGTATCAGGATACCATTACTATCGCACAAGTTGTTCATGCTAAAGAAGAGATTGATGGCATGCCAACTTCTACCATTCCTGTAGTTTCTCGTTCCGCTTCCTGACTGGACAGTGAGTAAACTGTCTTCCCGCTTCTGCATCCAGCAACATGTAGTGCTCGGTGGCTATCGGCCCAGCGCTTCTCGGGAGAAAGTCCCAGTGGTCTGCTTCCCTGAAGGTCACAGTCTGGGAACCGCTCGGGGCGGTTCTTCTCTGTCCGGTCAGGCTGCTGTCAGAGGGGAAAGGCACCCTGGTGGCACAGTGGTGAAGTACTTGGCTGCTAGCCACTGCCACAAAAATGCCCCCCTGGGAAGCCTGCAGGGCCAGTCCTTCTGAGTTGGAATCGACTGAGCAGCAATGGGGGAATGTGTATGAGTAGAAAATGGACTTGATGGTGCCCACAAACAACGTACATTTTTAAATGGTTGGCAGGTGACACGCAGATATTCCAGTCGGGATGGAACTGCCCCTGGACTGAGGCTGGCGGCGCTGAGCCTCTGTCTGTCTGTCTGTCTGTTTGCCCGAGTGTGTTTTCTTTCCCCTTCTAGATCGGGAGGAGTGCACTTGTGACCTCCTCTTCGTCTCTGCCTTCCTTCCCCTCCACACTCTCCTGGTCACGGGACGAGAGCACCCGAAGGGTTAAGTACATTCTGAATTGATAGCTCTCTGGAGGGGGCAGTGCTTTGTGCTTCTGTCCTGGGTCCCTCTGCTAACCATCCTCTGTTCTGCATGAGAGGCCCCTGCCCTCCTGGTTCCTCGCACACTCGCCGGCCGCCGAGATGCCGTCACTTCCTCTAATCCACACAGCTCACTTAGCTGTCCCCAGCACGCTCTGTTGATTCCAAGCATACTGTCTCTTTAAACAATTGGAAAATTAGCTGGCTGCCTGCTAAAACGCTGTAATTAGGGAGTCCATCCCATTGGTCCAGACCGGCATCGATCCAAACCAGTGTCTTTGGCCTAGCGAAAGCAGTCAAATACCATGCTTTTTTGGTTTGTTTGCTTTTTTGCCTCTGGCCTTTTTTTAGTCAGCACTGTGCTTGACAGAGCAGGCTGTTCCAGTCCCTGCATCTTCTACACCAGCACGCCAGCGTGCGGCCCTGCAGTGGCCTTTAGACGTGAGCACCTATGGGTGTGAAGCTGCCCACACAGGTCAGTTGGTCAAACCCAGCCTGCTGGTGGTCATTTCCAGCCTCTGGAATGGTCAGTGATGCCTTGGAGCCCTTTCCAAGTAGCCGGGCAACAAGTATTTGTTTAGCACTTTTCTCTGTGCCCAGCTGAGTGAGCCCTGGTGGCGTAGTAGGTTAAGCTTTGGGCTGCTAATCAATAAGACCAACAGTTTGAAACCATCAGCCACATCTCCAGAGAAAAGTGAGGCTCTCTACTCCCATAAAGAGTGATAGTCTCTGAAACCCACAGAGGCAGTTCTACCCTGCCCAGCAGGATGGCTGTGAGTCAGCTTTGACTTGCCCTGCCAGGTTCATTAACAGTTCAAGCCCGCCCAGCAGCTCCACACTCTAAAGGTGACAGGCAGAGACCCCATGGAGAACCAGCCGCAACATAGGGAGGCGGGGAGGCCCAGGAGTCGGAATCGACTTGAGGGCAGCATGTTTGGGATTTTTTCCCCCTATCCGCAGCTTTTTGGTAGGTCAGTCAGTTGACTTACACGATATGGTCCTTGTACTATGAATAAACAGCTGGACAGCAAGTCTCCATGAGAGCCACCTGGGAAAGCCACAGAGTGAGCCCAGGCAGCGGCTGGCACCGCCTTTGATGGCAGGAGAGCATCCTTGAGGTTTGAGGTGGGAAGCTGGCTGTGGACAAGGGGACACCTTCATCACAATGCAGCCGCTCCTCGCCTCTTGTACCAGTGGACTGATGGAGACGCGTCCTTCTCCCCTGTTGCTGCCACATGGCTCGTCAGAGTCCTTTTGTTGCCCTTCTCTAGGAAATAGTGTGTAGAGGGCCAGCTTGAGATACAACACCTGGAAGTCTCTTGAGTTCTGAAATTCATCTGTCACGTTTCCATTATGTTCCAGTTCGGCCCAGAGGTAGACAGCAGCAATGCAGTACCCAACGGGAGACTTGGTTAGTAAGCATCAAGAAGCCTCTTGGGGGTCATCATTGATACTGGTTTTTGTTTACTAATGTCTGGTAGTCTTGAAAAGCATTGCCCAGACTGCGTACTGAGACCCGGTGCCTTTTAGTTGGCTCTTGGCCGCCGGGCCCAGAGCATCTGTGATCAGAGAAGGTAGAGAGGCTAGTCAGTCAGCTGCACCAGCACCAGCTACGAGGTCACGTTTCTATTAACAGCTTTGGAAGAGCAGCACTCTGCATGCTTACAGTAATTTCCACAACACGAACGCCGGCTAACCTGACCTCCTGTACGTCAGCTTTGGCGGGGTGGAGGGGTGGGGGAGCAGCGATGAAGGACTGCTGTGTAAGTAAGGCTCCTGGGTGGCTGCCCCTCTGCTCCTGTGTTCTGCTCCTGAGTAACAGTTTCCTCGCGCTTCTCTGAGAGGCAGACGAGCCACTCACTACTCTTCACTTTTCCCAAGTGCTGGCGTGGACGGGGTCCCTTTCATCATTGTGGGGTGATGCACTCGTGTTTGTGATAACCTGTCAGTTTGCCACCCAGGAAAGCAAGAAGACCCTTCCCTGAAATGAAGAGCATTCTGGGTTTGATTCTGTAGTCCACATTTCCCATTGGAGCCGCTCGGGACGCATTTTCCAGTGTAATCATCTACACGCACATTTTTACAGTGCGTGCGTGTGTGCGTGCGTGCGTGCGTGGTGAGTCAGGTACCCTGTGAGAGGTCAGAGGGTGTCTTTGTTCCAGAAGTCCTGGGTTGCACTGTCCCTTGCACCGGACACAGTGCTGCCCCTGCTGGCCCTCCTACGTCTGGGAGCACCCCTCGTAAAGCCAGACCAAGACACAGCAGCAAGCAAAGCAGAACCGCTGGCTGGCAAAGGGACCCAGAACACGTGTGACTCGAAGCCAGCATTCTTCGCAATTTGCCAGTTCAATTACAGTGTGCGTCAGCGGAGCCGCAAACGGGTGCCATCTCTGAGAGGCCAGGGCTGTAGAGAGGGTTCTGGGGGAATGTGGAAGGCCCCCCGCAGACAGCGAAAAGGGGGAGAGCAAGAGAGGTTACAGGGCAGACAGCAAGAGGTGGCCTTTTCTATCTTGCAGTGCCCGCTGTTCCTGTGCCCCTGGGGGCTGTCAGAGGCCCAGGCAGCTGTGTCTCGGGAGTTCGTCTGATATCGGAGCGGTCATAGACTGCTGAATAGACGTATCCATGGCCGGCCAGCCTTGTGGGTGGTGCTACGACATCCTCACATTGAAACCTGCCATATTCATTGGCAGCTACTTCCTTAGCCGCGTGGCCTTGCAACAACTTTAAAATCCCCAGGTCTTACGTTTTGATGAACTTGGATTACATTCAAGGCATGGAGCTGGAAATGGCTCCTCTTCTGTTCTGCAAGCTCATCGGTCAGCCTCCATAGACCTTGGTTCTGGCAAAAGCAGGGCT